CGAAACTCATAAATTAATAATTCTGAGTTCGTTTTTGCAAAATTACACTTTATATTGTTTTTGGGATGAGAATGAGGAGAAATTAAATTGAGGTTGTCGATTAGAGTAGAAAATTAGGAGATAGGGGAGCATTTTCATACTTTTTGATAGGATTAGGCTTTGTGATAGGCTGAAGCACCGTATTTGTCATAGTATTAACTTTATTCATATAAATTATAATTTTTGTTAGATGTTCCATTTTGTTGTTTATCGTGTTTTTAGCTTGCACTATTTTGATGAGGTTATTGTTCCTATCATGAAGGTTACTTTTTTATTACTTGTCATGTTTTCTGCATTACCATTTTAATTTTCGTTACTATTTTGATTTACTACACTTAGAATCCAAGATTCTCCGAAAACAGTCTCTCTACGACTCTACCTCTAGAATATAGAAATAAGATTTATGTACACTAACTCAGATTTCACTTTGTTGTTGTTGTTGGCGAGTTTACCGTTGAGAGACTTCATGATGTTATTTACTAATCTCTCTAATTATGGCTAATGTTTTGGGCTTTGTTTAATCGATTAGAGTTCCCTTTTTGTCATTACTGTGAATCTGGCAATATTAAATTGTACATTAGGCAATTAGCCCTACCCCATCAATCATCTAAAAGACAAACAACATTTCAATCATCTTCCTATGTTTATGTTTAAGATCATAAAATTATATGATATTTTGATACATTTTACATATTTTTATCTTAAGAACGTAAGATTCACCAGTCTTATTTACTTTCTTAAATTTTATGTTAAATCAAAATACAACATATTTAGTGAAGTCTCGCTAAGTAGGTCTGAGTAGAATAGAATATACGCAGATCTTATATTACCTTATGAACGTAGAAATATTATTTTCGAAAAGCTATTTGTGTCGTGTCGAGATGAAAAGAGTTACATTGTACATTAGGCAATTAGCCCTACCCCAATAATCATCTAAAGACAAACAACATTTCAATCATCTTCCCATTTTCCCCCATAGCTTTTGCTTTCAACAAACTCCACACGCACATCTCCTTTTGCTGCATTTTCTGTTTCTGCTGCCACAAAAAACACAGCTTTTCTACACTTTCAAACCCCACATGGATCCCCAATCCATGGCTACCTACAACAACAATGTGCTGAATACAAAGAAACCATTATCCCATTACTAGTGAAAACTCTTCATCTGTTTTATTGTACCCTTTCTACTTCTTCTTCTTCAATGAAACTTACCAAATCCATGCTTAGTCCTAGCCATGCTCGGCATGATCCACCTCTTACTCTTCCCACTTCCCTTAGCCGGAGGCTTAAAGCTAATGGCAGTATTAAAGGTGGACAATCCCCAGCTACTTTTCCTACTACCACCGGAAAGAAACGGGGGTCGGGTTTTGATAACCCGGAACCTTCGTCTCCGAAGGTGACTTGTATTGGTCAGGTGAAAATGAAGACGAAGAAGAAAGTTAGGCAAACACGGAATTTGTCTAATAGAAGGAGTGATATAAGTTTCAGGAAGTTGGAAGAAGAAAGGGGAGTTTTGATTCAGAATCAGAGGAGTTCTAGTGTGCATTTACAGGCGCAAGATCAATGTGCTGCGGCGGTAGCGGTGGCGCATAGAAATCAGAGATGGGTACATTTGCCAGTGACGATATATGAAGCTTTGAGAGAGTTTAGCTGTTTGTTTCCATGTCGGTCTTCGTGTTTTTCGAATGAGAAAGGAAAACAAGAGGATAAAGTTAATGGATCTAGAGAAGTTGATAATAATAATGGGCAGAGGAGATGTGAGGATGTTGTTGCTAGATGGCTAGTTGCATTGCAAGATGGTGAAGCAGATGACAAAACGAGAGGGATTGAGTTGGTGGTGACGAATAATGTGAAGGAAGAGGAAGACGAGAAAATGGAGGAAATGCAAAGTACTATGAGAAGCTCAAGAAGGCATGTGTTTGAAGGTATTGAGTTTAAGGATCATGAAGATGGGAGTGTTGAAATGAAGGAAGAGAAAGCCAGAGTTAGCATTTGCATTCCACCTAAAAATGCTTTGCTTCTAATGAGATGTCGATCTGATCCTATGAAAATGGCGGATATTACTAATCGATTCTGGGAATCACCTGCTCGAAAAGAAACTAATGAAGAAGTTGAAGAAGATGAGAAAGAAATCGGAGAAAATGCGGATGTGGAAGAACTAGTAGATACAGAAAACATCGAATGCAAAGTACTACAGGAAACTAGTTGTGTTTCTGTAGATCTTGTGGAAAATGAAGAGAATGCAGAAGCAGAAAGTAGTAAAGATGAAGAAAAGCTCAAATGCCATGAATTAACACCAGAAACAGAGGAACAAGAGAGTGTGATAAAGGCACTTGTAGCAGCAGCAGCAGTAGAAGTAAACTCCATTGTTGATCAAACAAATAATCAACTCCTTGAATCAGAGAAAAAAGAAGAAGAAACCAGCAGCATTCAGAGTTTTTCATCTTTCTCAGAAAACGAAGAAGATGCAACATTGGACGAAGATGCAGAAGAAGAGAGATTCAAATCAATTATAAAAAAGGTAATTGAAGAAACACTCTTGTTAGAACACATTGATAGAGAAGATGCAAAGCAAATTCAACACGAACACAAAGAAGAAGAAGAAGCAAAATCTGATGCAGCATTTTCAAACAATGAAATCGAAAAAGAATCGAGAAAACAACAGAACGAATCAATTCTTCCAGATTGCTTGCTGCTAATGATGTGCGAACCCAAACTATCCATGGAAGTTTCCAAGGAAACGTGGGTATACAGCAGCACCGAACTGAAACAAGCTAAAACAGTGAAGAAGAAGAAGAAGAATGAAATTCCCGAGGATCCAAAGAGAAGGCGAAGCATTGACAAGAGTAAACAACAACACCTCCTTCTACAACCACCAAGGTCATCGTGTTCTTTTCCGGCGACCAGAATTTCGCCGGCCATGTCCATGGCAACGATGATAGAGCAGAAACTGGTAAACGCAGTGGCTTACGAGCCGTTAGTGTTGACAAGGTGCAAGTCGGAGCCGATGAGGACGGCGGCAGGGGTAACGGCTAAGCTTGTGCCGGAGACTTGTTTCTGGAAGAATATGAAGATTGAGCCACATCGACGAGCTACATTTGGGTTCGGGGCGGCTGGAGTCGGGTTTTGAGCTGACCCGAATTGTTCAAGAATTTACGCTGTGATCAGTTGTACTTGCTCATTTACTCAGGCTGTACATTTTATTTTAAACCTTTTATCAGGAATGTATTTTTAGTTTTTGTAGAAGAAGTAAAACTTTTTCAGTTTAATTTTTTTTTAATATTTCATGATCTAATTCGAGATTATCCACGATGTTTTTTGTAATTTTATTTTTGCTTGAAATTTTATCAGTTCTAACAAATTATTTTTTGTTCATATGATTACTTTAGATACTTATAATTTTTTTTATTAGAAGCGCCCTCGTAGAAAAAAGCTTGCAACGCTCGTTAAAGTGAGCTTCTTTTTCATATATATATACTAATGTTAAATGTTTCTCAAAGAATGGACTTGACCAGAAAATTTGACCATATCTAAACCAAGCACTAATAATTGTATTATTTCTAAATGCAATTAATGCATTAATCTATAGTTATAGATACGTATTATACAGGGGTGGCTCAACATAATTTGTGGCCTAAAGCGAAATTTTTATTAGAGGCCTAAAATCTATATAAATTTTATATATATCTATTTATTTTCTAAATTTCTAGATGTAAATTACTACTTAATATCTTTATATAAATGATATTTCAAACTACTTTTTAATTATTAGTTTTAAGTAAGATTTTATCAATTTAACATTGAAAAACATCCTTTTATTGAGACAATTATTATATGAATTATTAACACAATTTTATAAGTAATAGTTGATAAACTTTAAAGATAAGAGTTAGAATCATAGAATTTGATTCAAAAAGTTGATAACTTGGTATACCTACTTTAATATGAAAATTAACAAATAAATTAAAAAAATAAATTGTAATGCACTTTGTTAAATACTTTTCGACTATTGATTCATATTTTTGAGAGTGTATTACTCTAACTATCAAAGATTTGAAGAAATAAAGTGCAAAAAGAGTTACAAAAGATAAATAATGTGAGTGTTAACGAAAAAAATATAAGAATCCAAAACAATATTTCCTTAATTTCTTCTATTTGAATGAGGTTAAGATACATAATTTTTTATTTATAAAAATTTGAGGCCCCCAAAAATTGGGGGCCTAAGGCCAATGCCTAAAATTTTATAGGCAAGAGCCGGCCCTGGTATTATAGACATATCTAAAGGGACAGCCTGGTTTTGTATGCTAATCAGTGGCTTGTTAATTAGTATCATGTGACACAGCCAATTCCCAAACTAAAAACAGATCTAGAATTGGAAATTAATACAAGTAAGATGAACAATGTGTCTTTGTGTCTTTTGGGAACTATAGATTTAAACAAAATTATATATATCAAATTCTATCAAGGTTCGTATGTTCGGACTTAAAATGGATTTCTCATATTGTGATGTTGTAGGCAAAAGGTAGAGTGATAATTCATCAAAAATGTATGAAATACATTGATGGTATGAGATTATATATACTCGTTGAGTAGTTTAACAAATCAAGTCCTATATATTAATAGTTCAGCTATAAAATACGTTATTAATTAAAGATGTTGATATTATGAAGTAATCAATATCTATTATATATAAAATTTTATATTGATAAACCTCTGTCAATCAATAAATTTAAATTTATATAATTTTAATAAATAAAATCGACCTCAAGAGGTCGGTATATTAAAATAAATTAATAAACACCGACCTCAAGAAGTTTGTATATTTAGATTATTATTAAATAGTATTGATTTCTTGATATCCATATTTATTAAAGGTATTTAATAATTTTAATTGACGATACCGATCGGTCGGTGTTTTAAATATATATATATAAAGAAAAAAAAATGAAATATCGACTCAGGTGAAATCCGTCCCTCTTGAGTCTCCGCCTCACGCTGCTCGCAACTCGGAGCAGGTCGCCGTCGCAGAAGCAGCAGTGCCGCACGTCGCAGCAGCGCTGCACATCCATTCTGCATTCTCAAAGGTAATGAAAGTAGTTAACTAATTTGTTGGATCCAGAGACTTCAATTGCAGTAGTTAACTAATTTGTTGTGAAGCTTAGCCTCAAACAAAAACTTATTCAAAAGAATTAACCAATTAGAAGGGCATTTTTTTTTATTAAACAAGTGTGTATCTTTGTCAATTAGCTTTTTTTTTTGGCAGTGTCGTTGTTATGCTCTTTTGATTCATCATCTGTAGATATACTAATCATTTTTTATGGGTGATATAGGATTAGTCTACTTTAATAATTAATAGTATGTCTTTATCCAACTTAAATAGATTTGAGGCAAAACTAACGAACTCCACTGCATTCATTCATGTCAGTCATTTTCACAAGAGATTGAAGTAGCTAAAGAATCATATGAGCTTCATATATCACAGTTGTGATTGTGTGTATTACAGCTTAGTCTATGCAATGGTAAATGTTGTTTCATAAAGTTTGCGTCTTTTAGTTGGTTTTTGAGTTTAAATTGATGATTTTGGATCCTTTCTGACTTTTCGTGAATTGAGTTTCTGTTTCTTGGTAGAATAAGTGTATAAACATTGAGGAATTGTGTAATATTATACTGGGAAATTCTTAGAGTTTGTATCACGGCTTATGCTATGCAATGGTAAATCTTGTTTCATAAAGTTTGTGTCTTTTAGTTAGTTTTTGAGCTTCCATTGATGTTTTTGGATTTCTTTTTTGATGAACTTTTATTGACTGGAGTTCTGTTCCTTAGTAGTTGGGATTTGAACATTGAGGGAGTTGTGTGATATTATACTAAAAAATCATAGAATATGGAATACTGCTTATGCTATGCAATGGTAAATCTTGTTTCATGAAGTTTGTGCCTATAAGTTGGTTTTTGAGCTTACATTGATGGTTTTGGATTGGTTCTTGGATTTTCTATATTGGGTTTCTGTTTTTCAGTAGTTGGCATTTGAAATTGGAAGTTGTGATATTATAGTTGAAATAACATTCTATTTCTGACCAATTGACGCCTTCAACCATCTTTAAATACTAATTACTTCTATATGCTTCAAACAAGAACCTACTATTGGGGCAATAGTCTCAACAATAAAGTCTGTTGTTTTCTTCTTTCTCTCTAATAGAGAGCCTATGCACTCCATGTGTTTGATAAAATGCCCTAGGAAAAATAGTTTGTCATTAGGATCCTTTGGTAGCTGGTTAGAATTATGCAGGTATTAGTAAAATATGTATTAGTTATGCGGGTATTAGTTATTTCATCTTCTATCCTGCACAAGATAATATACAAATTCCGTCATACCTTGCATATCAAACGTTATACATGTATAACTTACTTCCTAACTTGCTACCAAACATTGTATAACTTAATTCATAAATTAATACTTGAGTAAGTTGCTTCTTTACTAGCTACCAAACGATCCTTGAGTACTCAGTTCGATTTGACCCATTCTTTCTCATTATTAGAAGAATGTAAGTCCTTTAACAAGCATGTTTATTTGATGCCTTGTATTCTTTATATGATTCCTAGACTTGGTTTTCAAGAAATATATGCTTACTTATTACACTTCATGCTAGAAATTTAGGCAAATCTAGGGAGGGGGGTGTCCTTGTAATTGTTTTCTAGATTTTTTTAGAGGGGTGGGTGACACAGCTAGTTATTTGGACCATAACCAGTAGATGAAGGTAAGAGTATATGGTTGTTAAGTGATGGTTGTGTTATCTTCTTTAAGAAAATTTAGTGAAATGCAAACAAATTTTATAAACAAAATGTACCTTTCAATCGATTACATATTACGTAATCAGGAGAATATTGTAAATATAACCAATACATAGTGAATAAAATCATTAAATTTCTTGATCTGAAAAAGAGTGCGGAAAAGTTAAATTTTTTGTTGCCTGTGGTGATTAGGACAGTTTGGAAATTTTTGGTTGCAGATATTGTATCATATTGTCAAAGGATGCAGTTTCTAAAAGACATCGTACCTGCTGCATTGAACAATATAAACACAAAATTTATTGTTTTGGACAAAGGGATGATAGGTTTGGAAGGGCAACACAAGACGTGTTTGGCACTAGTTGCAGATGAGACAGCTGCGGTTCACTTTCAAATGTGGGGTGATGAATGTGATGTTTTTGAGCCTGGGGATATCATCCGGTTAGAAAATGGCATCTTTTCTTATATTCGCAATAACCGCAATAACCATGTATTACGGGCAGGTAAGCGAGGCAAGGCAGAAAAAGTGGGAGAGTTTACCATGGCCTATGTGGAGAAACCAAACATGAGTGAGATACATTGGGTCCCTGATCCGAAGAATCCTAAGATATATTTGCCAGTGGATTTTACTTCTCACATTTCACCAACACATTGAGTATTGGGCAAACTTATATCTGACAGGTACTTTCCTTTAAACTCTCTTCCTTGATGGTTGCTTGAATATGATTCAATTGAGTTTATGTTAATCTATTCAGTTCAGATTCTTTGAAGGGTCTTATGATGCAGTATACTGATGATTGTGGGGATTGGTTCCTGTGGTTTGTAGAAAGTAATGCCTCTATTTCTCTAGTTGGATTGACCTTAAACTCATCTTGTGTGTGGTTGTTTGATTATTATCAACTTCTCTGCTGCAATGTGCAAACAGATGAGAAAAAAATCCTTATATTTAGGTAAAGTTTTCCTGTCTTGATCAAGAAAAAAGTTTAAAAGTATGGATGAAGGGAGAATAAATACATTAGGAGTGGGAAAGGAAACTTGGTTAAGGCAATGGAAGGTTAGGCTGATCACTCTAGTAACCGTTTACTAGATGGCTTGTGCCCATGTGCCTAATATTTCTGTACAAAGAAGATCCGGCACTGAGAAGTAAGTTTAACCAGTTGAAACTTTGTTCTTTTCATAAGTCAATAACTGTAAGCAACTTGTAGCTAAGGCTTTTTGTTGCAGTTTCTCCTCTTCATACACTACTCTCGACTTTGTAAGCTAACTCTACATCGTGGTTTACAACCAAATTTACCCTTTGTTTCTATCAAATGTATTCAACCAATTTTTCCCTTTTGTTCTCAAGTGTCTGAAAGCACTAATGAGACTACCGTCTCCCTTAGCTTTTTTTGTATGGTTACTAAGATGAATATATTTGTCAACAATGAACAATGAAAGCACAAACAACAGATCTGGAAAGAAAAAAATACCTCGTAAAAAGTTGTGGCAATAAAATGAAAGGAAGGTATTTGTCATTTTTTTTCCAGTTATGACCTTACAATAGTGGTATCCATTTATGAGATGACATTCGTGGCACATCTGTCCCTCTTATGGAACAAAGGAACTCTTCTCCCTCTTGAAAATGATGATGTACCTTGATTTTTACTCCCATATGATAAAGTGACCCATAAGTGCTTACGAAGTGTATCCTCGAATATAATAGCAAGGTTCAACACCCTAAAGAACCCTAAGTATATTCTTGGACATATCGAATAGAAATGGAACCACTTGTAAAGGACCAAAAGATGATATTGAAAGCCTACATTGAATGGAACAAGTTTACCTGTTTCGATTGGAAGATGCAATTCTCCTATTAGCACTTCTAGCTAGCCATCTTTAACCAGCTTAAGTAAGCACAAAATCTGCCATTAACTCATGATTTCCGTTGTTGATCATTAATGATTATTGGTAACGTTTGCTTATTTTTTGACCTACCAAAAAGCCTAAACTAATATAAATTAACATGCTTCAGCTGACAAATGGAAAGCTCATAATAAACATGCACTATGAAGAATGATTAGAAAGTAGATTCCTTGGCAGTAACTGTCAGATCAAACCTCTGCATAGATTCGATGTTTAGAAACAATTAGATGAACTTAAGTGGAAGGGGTTATGATGAAGAATCAAAAATGAAAGGAACTACATGTCATTTTCATGCAAATATTATAGAAACAACATCAAGCTGTAGATTTTCAAGGAAAACCAGCAAATTATACAACTTAAGCTTCTGCTATGTAGTTGATAAGAGATCAAAAGTAGAGCAACTTAGAAAATAGCTTCTTTTTTTTTAACCATTAGACTTGGCTCTTTAAACTCATACTATGCAATAATTCTTTAGTATAGCCTGACATATGTATAGTTATTGGATTATAGATAAGGTCTTGAAATTAAAGAATGTAGTAAGAATTCTACCTCATCTCTATCTTCGTTTTGTATGTCCGAGGAAACTGAAAGTGATGACACATCAAACCATTCATATGGCTTAACCAGACCCATCCATTAACTTGTAAATAAACTTGTTTGCTGAGTTGCATGCCTTTGCAGATACTTCTTAATTGTAATATAGAAGGCTTGAGAAGACCATTTATATAGGTACAACATAAACATCGAGATCAAGTAATTAAAAGTTATACACAATAATTTTAAAAGCACTAAGTTTTTTTCAGTTAAGACTTGGAAGTAATATCAGCTTGATCATAACTACAGAGAGTAGAGATTAACTACTCTTCAACAGAAAGCAGGCTGGAACATCGGTTGAGTTGCTGCTTTCACTTTGATGAGCTGATTCCATGACAATTACAGCTTACAAAAGAAATTTCACTCTTTCTATGGTGGGTTCTTCTTCTCTCTTTCATTTTTGTTCACTCTTTTTTTCTTAAATATTTTGTTTTCTTGTTATTTTCTTTAACACTCTTTTAAGTGGGTTCTTCTTCCTCTTTTCTTTTTTTTGCTTAATTTTTCGTTTTGAATGGGGATGCTGATCTATATGTGCTTGGGCGTGTGAGCTAAAAACTATTTGAAGTATTTGTATGTCATGTGAAACAAATTGAGCTAAAAAAGATATTATAACAACTAATACAATCTTGGTCGTGCTCAGCACGGGCAACCTTTACTAGTAGCTTAGAAACGAGGGTACAGAACCAACTTTATTGATCAAATTACAACAACAACATACTCTACGTAATCCACAAGTGGGGTCGGGGGAGAGTAAAGTGTACGCAAACCTTACCCCTACCTTGTAGAGGTAGAGAGGTTGTTTCTGATAGACCCTCGGCTCAAGGAAAAACATATCAAAGCAGCTAATCATTGAGTATTCTCCATGATACTCTGGATGAAACCTCCAATAGAAGTGTAAGAAGAGCCACCTTCCATGGTTGTTGCTCTGCTCTTCTCCTTCATCTCCCTTACTTTCATCCGGATTTTATTTTCCGGGTCCATAAGTTCCCTTATTGCTTTCTCAATCTCCTCTGCTTTCACTATAACTTCTTGGCCCATCGTCCCTGTCGGTTCCTTCCTGTAATCCATCTTAATCTCGACTGCCATTTCCAAATCCTTAACCAACTGAAACGCATTTGCTTGCTGCTCTGCGTACATTGGCCAAGTAGCCATTGGCACTCCAAAATAGATGCTTTCCAAAGTCGAATTCCATCCACAGTGCGACACAAAGCCACCCACTGCTCTGTGAGATAAAATGGCCAATTGAGGTGCCCATCCTATCACCTGTTGAAAAATAGTAGAGATGGAAATAATAAGATGCTATGATTATTAAATAAAAAAAGATAAAATGAAGTTGCAATGTGAAACAATAATAGCGCACTATGAAAGGCGCTGTCTTCAAAGTGGATTTTATATCTAGATAACGAGTGACAGCGTACTCCCAAAATACAATGCATCATCTAGAAATTTTGTAATGTATACTCGAATAGAAGTTCGGAGAACTCTTAAATCTCTCAACTGTTTATATAGGAATTTGGAGCCAAAAAAAGAAAGAACATGGATTCTTGAAGAGGGTGAGAAAATGAGGAGCCAAAAGATAAAATTATGAAAAATTGGATATGTTTTTTTTTTAAAAATAAAATAAAATGTTATTCTTTTTAGCACGCTAGGTTTTAAATCATTCAAAATAAAATCAACGCGCCTCCAGTCTTAACCAAAGGTTTCAGGTTCGAGCTTTGAATATGGATCAGGGACCTGGCTCCATAAGAAAAAAAGAAAAGAAAGAAAAACAACAACAATACCTTTCCAATCCCTTGTGTTCTTTGCAAGAACCCTTCTGGCAATACTTCTTCAAAATTTTCATAGTCACCTGGAAGTCTTGCATCTTTCTGTGGTGGTTGTCTCAATGTCCACAAAAACCGACACCCACTATTCTCGAGAGCATATGTTATTTCCTTAACTTGCTCTACCGTAAAACTTCCTCCGCTACCAAAACAGAGAAACACTACAGATGAAGGGGGTTGATCATCTAACCATTTCATAATATTCTGGTCTGATGAACTCAAGTTCTCACCTTGAACGCTATTAAGGTTAAATACCGGTCCCACAGGGTATACCGGTGGTATATTCTTGTCTCGTGAGAGGGAGTTTATCGCGTGAGAATCCAGTTCAAGAAAGGTATTAATCATTATACCTTTTGTTTCTCGAAACCTTCTTGTAAGGTCAAGACACATGGTGGAACCTCCTTCCTTGTCTAACATGACAGAGGGCAAACATTTTGCAGGAAATGGATTAAAATATGTTGATATAGAAAGTTCTGCTTCAGGGTCATCTTTGTAATTAGTAATATTTCTTCCAAAGTCATCACTAAGGCTCTGCATATGGAACTGAAGACCAAGAGGAGCTGCACCACAGGTGTAGAAAACATAGGTTGGTAGCTCGAATTCATTGGCCACGTCTATCATAGAGGTGCAAAATAAGTCGATGACAATACCTGCACGTTAATATCGCATATAATTACTAGAACTTTACCCATCGAAAGACTAAAATTTCAAAACTATCATTGTAGCATAAAAAATAAAAACTAAGCTTTACTCTACCCACAATAACAATAAAGTCATTGAAATACTTTCTCTAGTCGCGTTAAATTGAGAAGGTTGGTGTAGTGGGGGGAACACCCCTTTCAACTTAAATACTCGCCCTGTCATAATTTAGGCGGCATCATTTGGATTCGGAGAGTCAAACTTTTAAATTTTGACAATGAATTCAGAAATAGAATCTTTAAGCTTTTGGAAATAAAATTCTTATTTGAAAACTACTTGAAAAATATAATAAGTCACAATAACCAATAATTTTAAATACTTAAGAGGCACATTAAAATATCATAGTTAAGAAAAACTATTTGAATCTCGAAATCCAATAAGTATCATAAAGTTTGGACGGAAGGAAGTACCAATCTTTTTTTTTTTGCCGTAGTGGTCGAACTCATGACATGCATCTAGTCTATAAATCACAAGTTGTGTGCTTATCACCTATGTTACTCTCCAAAAAATTATATACACTACTTTTGGAGTATCCGACACACACCCGTCGACATTTTTGAAGAATCTAAGCAACATCGCTTATTACTGAACCAAAGCTTTGGACAGATAAAGTTAAATAATCATACATGGAATGAATTTGAAATATATACCTGCTAGTGTAATATTTGATTGTGACTTGATAATTTCAGCTACAACATCTCTAACTGCAGGCTTATGAGCAGGAATAAAGGAGGTGAAAAGGTTACTTTTGCGTAGCTGCAAAACAGTGTCATCTTGAGGGAGTTGAATGAATTTCAAACTTGAGCTGAAATTGGTTAATGATTGAATATAAGAAGGGAGCTTGTTGTCATGAGGTGATTGGATAATGAGAACTGTAATGGACATGTTTTTTTCTCTAGTTATGAGAAGCTTTGCCATTTCTACTGTGGACACTAAATGGCCAATTCCTGGACTAGGAATGAAGATCAACTCTATTTTCTTGGTACTTGACATTTTTTTTGGTACAAGCTTGTACTTTTGATATTGTTTGAAACTTAAAAGAGGAAAGTGGATTTTGTGGATAGGTGTGTAATATTGGTATTGATTATAATAACCCTTGTGATTGGTTATATATAAGGCCAAGATATGTAAGAAGTATGTGGGGACAAAGAATGAGTTGTCTTGGTCATCAAGAGTGAGAATGATGTTGCATTCAAAGCGTAGCTTAATGGTCAATAAAATAAATATAAATAATGTAGACAAGTTTTTAAATTTAATAGAGAGATGAAAAAGAAAAAAAATTAAGACTTGCTTAAGTTTTGGTGGATGATGTTCAAATATATAATTGAAATGTACGTAAATTGATTCGAATTGTTACCATTATGAATCCCAAAAAGAATGATAATGATGAACATTAGGTGATTCTTTTTATCCGTCCTAAACTTGGTAGACAGAGTTATCATATCTTGTGAGATTAATTGAAATGCGCGAAAGCTGATAGGGACAGCACAATCAGTAAAAAAAAATTTGGCAATGATGTCATGGCATAGGTGGAAGAAATTTATTGTATAAGATAAGAATCTAGAAGGTGTTAAGACACTGGAAGTATCCAAGTAAGAGGAGTGGTGGAAAAGAAGGTTTTGTCGTGGTGATCAATTAAATGATGTCATGGCTTTGCTGGTTTGTCTTTTGGATATAACAGTTTTTTAATCTTTTCTAGCATTCTATCATAGATTTAATTGAAATATAAAAAAAAGAAATATGATAAATTTTCAAAAGTAATCGAATTTCATGGATAAACAATATTTTTAATATTTTTTTTTTGAAATCTATGATCAAATAAAAGTTTTGTTTTGTGTTTATGATTTTACTTCCCAAGAAAAGAGGATTTTGGCTGTTGATAAAATTTATTGATATGCCATTATCATTATATGAGAAATATTGTTTTTAATATAACGTGTAGAATACTTTACCAGATAACCATTTATTTGATAAAAAATGATTAAGTTAAATAAAAATATTTTTTTACTGATCAACATATTTGTTCTCTCTCCAAAATTGAAGCTCAAGTAGAAAATTATTTTAAATTCTATCTGTGTTTAATTAAAATGTGGACGTATAAATACACACTTTCCATAGGTTATAACTCGTTCTATACCTATCGTTTGGTATACAAACAAAATTATCTCAGAATTATAGTTTTGAGATTATAATTATTTTGTATAAGTGCATTGCTTTAAGAAATGACATGATAAGAAGGAAATGCTATCAAGTTTTCATGTCTCCAAGTTTATTTCAACATATATCAGCATAAGAACACAAGAAACTTGTTACAAGCCAAAAGTGCACTCCAAATTCCTCATGGCCATTCCATGAGATATATATGACAAACCTTGGAAAAACTTTATTATGTGCCTCGCACAATTGACACTAGCTGTGTGAGGCTTCGTTTTATCTCACAAAAAAAGTGGACCCAAATCTTAATACTGTTTGGTCCACTTTTTTCTGAGACAAAAGCCTCACAAGACTAGTGTAGTCGAGTGAGGCACATAACAAAAAAATTTCCTGACCTTAGTTTGCTAGCATTCTATAGAAGCCCCTCCAAGTGCTTGCATTTCTCAGTTTAACGTAAACACATAGCATGCCAAGAGAAAAATAATTAGCTGAGCATGTATTAACCAGTATTCTTGGCCTTCCTTCCCCTTTTCGTTATTTCCATCTTCTTCGATTCCTTTCCTTTCTCCTTTAACGTGTTCATAGCATCCACCAACTTGTTCGTCTGTGGCTCGGGCACCATACTCTTTGATATCATCTCATTAAAATAAGACAAAGCATCCTCTAATCTTCCCCCTTCATAAAGACCATGAATCATAATTGTATAGGATCGTTGATCGGGTCCTAGTCCACTCCTCTCCATCTCATCCCACATACTCTTTACTTTATCTTGATTATCCCAGCTCATAAACAACCTCAACAACAAATTGTAAATATCTCCAGTCATCTTACACTGGTTTTCATTCATCCTTTCCAAAATCCCAATAGCTTCCTCAGACGTCTTGGCAGAATTCAACAAGTAACCATAAGTTCTAGCATTTGGCAAACAACTCTCTCCCTTCGTTTCCATCTCATCTAAAAGCTCATAAACTTTCTCCATCCTCCTAATCTTGCATAAATTCTTAATCAACGAATTATAAGTTACAACGTCAGGTAAACAATCTCTCTCATTCATTTCATGGAAAATCTCAAGAGCATCAGGAATTCTCTTCTTGAAACACAATCCATCAATAATACAATTACAAATTGCAACATCTGGCTTACACCCTTTTTCCCACATTGTCTGGAACAACTCTACTGCCCTGCTTATTTTCCCTGATTTACATAGTGAATTGATGAATATCCCATATGTAAATTTATCCGGCTTACATTTTGAAGTTACAATATCATTCCAAAACCTCTTCGCCTCTCGTGAATTACCCAAAACACACCATCCATTCAGAATAATATTCCGCGTTTTAATGTTATCCTTAAACTCATTTATCTTATTATGGAACAAGAATTCAGCATCTTCAACATGTTTGAATCGGCATAAACACACAAGAAGAGTCTGAAAAGCAATAAGATCAAGCTTCAAACCAAAAAATTTCCTCTTATAGAAAAACTCTTTTGCATCTTCAACTCTGTGAGCTGCAGCATATCTATTAATCACAATACCATAAGTTCTTTCATTAACCAAATTTCCTCTCTTAGACATTTCGTCGAGCACTTGGTTGAGTTCATCAAAACGTCTCATACGACCAAGAATTTCGAGAATTTCATTGAAAGATTCAGTATTTGGTGAATACCCACTTGGATTTTCACCTGCTAATACCCATTTGAAGAAGGTAAAAGCTGGTTTCCAATCAGAACGGTGCCGTTTAAGCACGTTTAGAATGAAATCTTCAGATAATGTGAAATTGCAATTACTTAGAGATTGAAAAATGTCACTCACTGATTTATCTGCTTTATTCTTGAGAAGGGTCTGCACTTTCAACGCGCAGTTTTCTTCGTCGGATATTGTGTGCATTTGGCGATGAAAGTGACTCACCATTTTGGGTTGAAAACTGTAGAAACGCTGAATTCTCCGGTAGAGTTCTTTAGTAGACATTCCGATGAACTTTCCGGTGGAACGCCGGGAAAGTGGATTTTATAGGAATGAAAGCCAGAGCAAACAAGAGTGTGTCATAATTAACTTATGAATACCGAGTTAGTAACTTATAATTTTGACTTATTTTTATTAGTAGTAAAATTATTTGTGCATACGCAAAATTTATTATCATGAAAATTTTAAAATAGTACTTTAAATATATTTATCATTAAAATTAAAACACTATATTATCTTACATACAAGCTTACGTAGTAAAAAACATTAATAATGTAAATGAAAATGAAAATTATAACATCTTATCATTTATCCTTAATAACATAAGTATAAATTAATGACTATAAAATACATATCAGGATCTGTGACATAAGTAATGGTGTCAGTAAGCCACTCAATAGGAAAAAAGTACACGAATATTTAATTATGAAGAATAAGAAGAGGTTCAGAATTTTTGTTATTTTAAAATAAGAGAATATTCCTTTATTTATAGATAACAAAAGATAGTGTTAACAAATGTTTAATAGTCGCCAGTAAACCTTTTCAAATAGTTATAACATTTTCGATAAGGTACACTAAACTATTGTTGACACTAAAACATATTTTTAGTGGCGACTATTAAAGGCATTAGCGGCGACTATTGTTGTCACAAAACATACTTATAGTGGCAACTATTAAATGCATTAGTGGCGACTATAGTTGTCACTAAAAACATACTTTTAGTGGCGACTAATAAATGTATTAGCGGCGACTATAGTTGTCACTAAAAATATACTTTTAGTGGCGACGATTATAGGAAATAGCGGCGACTATAGTTGTCACTAAAACATACTTTTAGTGGCGACTATTAAAGGCATTAGCGGCGACTATTGTTGTCACAAAACATACTTTTAGTGGCGACGATTATAGGCAATAGTGGCGACTATTATAGGCATTAGCGGCGACTATAGTTATCACTAAAACATACTTTTAGTGGCGACTATTATAAGCATTAGCGGCGACTATAATTGTCACTAAAACATACTTTTAGTGGCGACTATTAAAGGCATTAGCGGCGACTATTGTTGTCACAAAACATACTTTTAGTAGCGACGATTATAGGCAATAGCGGCGACTATAGTTGCCACTAAAAACAAACCTTTAGTGGCGACTATTAAAGGCATTAGCGGCGACTATTGTTGGCACTAAAACATACTTTTGATGGCGACTATAGTTGTCACTAAAACATACTTTTAGTGGCGACTATTATAGGCCTTAGCGGCGACCATTGTTGTCACTAAAACATACTTTTAGTGGCGACTATTATAGGCCTTAGCGGCGACCATTGTTGTCACAAAACATACTTTTAGTGGCATTAGCGGCGACTATAGTTATAACTAAAAAAAACTTTTAGTGGCGACTATTATAGGCCTTAGCGGCGACTTAGTGGCGACTATTATAGGCATTAGCAGCGACCTTTGTTGCCACTAAAACATAAAGCATATCAATATCAATATAGATGTTAATTATTCAATGCATATAATTTTACTAAGGGAAAAGCCATAAATTCTCTCTTAAAACTTGACACAAAAAATAAATTACACGATTAAACTATTGTGATGCTTAAACTATTACACACCCGTATTGTGAATTTATTTTCATACCGTTACAACAAAGTACCAAGGTAAAATTGGTTCCACCACAGGCAACCTTACTTACATTTTTTCAAGAGATTTATTTTCACGACTTAAATCTAACAACTTTATCAGTTATGTCAAGACTCTCTTTTTACTTTCATTTACTATCTGAAATTAAGCTTTGGCAAGCCTAACTTCATGACCTAGCGTCTTTAGTTCTTCAAAACTAAAAAAAATAATCTAAAGAAGTATAAACTTCAACTATACCTTAAACAACAAGCCTCAAATCAGCTATCTAAGCAATTCCCTGGTACAGGGGAGGAGAGGGGTAACTTAACTACTTGTTTTGAAAATTTTCTAGTCTTCCAGTAGATGT